CCGATGTTATGATACTTGTATGATGAATACGGTTCATCCCTTGTTTTGTCTATGTCAGTAAACACCTTTGGATACTTGTAATATTTGATTGATGAATACGGTTCATCCCTTGCTTCGCCGATGTTATGATACTTGTATGATGAATACGGTTCATCCCTTGTTTTGTCTATGTCAGTAAACACCTTTGGATACTTGTAATATTTGATTGATGAATACGGTTCATCCCTTGCTTCGCCGATGTTATGATACTTGTATGATGAATACGGTTCATCCCTTGTTTTGTCTATGTCAGTAAACACCTTTGGATACTTGTAATATTTGATTGATGAATACGGTTCATCCCTTGCTTCGCCGATGTTATGATACTTGTATGATGAATACGGTTCATCCCTTGTTTTGTCTATGTCAGTAAACACCTTTGGATACTTGTAATATTTGATTGATGAATACGGTTCATCCCTTGCTTCGCCGATGTTATGATACTTGTATGATGAATACGGTTCATCCCTTGTTTTGTCTATGTCAGTAAACACCTTTGGATACTTGTAATATTTGATTGATGAATACGGTTCATCCCTTGCTTCGCCGATGTTATGATACTTGTATGATGAATACGGTTCATCCCTTGTTTTGTCTATGTCAGTAAACACCTTTGGATACTTGTAATATTTGATTGATGAATACGGTTCATCCCTTGCTTCGCCGATGTTATGATACTTGTATGATGAATACGGTTCATCCCTTGTTTTGTCTATGTCAGTAAACACCTTTGGATACTTGTAATATTTGATTGATGAATACGGTTCATCCCTTGCTTCGCCGATGTTATGATACTTGTATGATGAATACGGTTCATCCCTTGTTTTGTCTATGTCAGTAAACACCTTTGGATACTTGTAATATTTGATTGATGAATACGGTTCATCCCTTGCTTCGCCGATGTTATGATACTTGTATGATGAATACGGTTCATCCCTTGTTTTGTCTATGTCAGTAAACACCTTTGGATACTTGTAATATTTGATTGATGAATACGGTTCATCCCTTGCCTTGCTAAGTTTGATGTGTTTCGTTTTGAAGGACTCTGGCCTTATTCATGCAAACCTTTATTTTTAGTACCATTCACTGAGTTTTGTACTCACCCCTCTATATATATGTAGGTGATGAGCAGGACGGCGGCGACGCCTAGATCGTTTTGGATGCTTGTTTTGGATTCATGCTTATGTTGGCTTGCTTTTGCATTTACGTCGGCGATTCCCTGTTTTACATGTCGGCAAATCTTGAAAATCATGCTTCTTGACTTGTACTAGTTGTATTTTGTATATGTCGGCTCGAGAAGCCTTTTGATCAAGATGTAACATGTAATTTTACCTGGTTGTATTTAAGTTGTGAAGTTAATTGGAATGTTTGGCATTGCTTTGATCTACGCACAGCTCTTATGGACCACTGGTATATTGATTTATTGCTTCCGCATTTGCGAGCCCCCTATATTCATACTCTGATCGTGTTAAGTTTTGAAAAGTTGGCCTTCGGTAATTACGGATTACTGGCCATCACGGCACCAAACTACTAGGGGCGGTTTGGGGTCGTGACATCAACACTGTGAAAAAATCAAACTAATTAAAAAAAAATTAAAACTCCACAATCATGGTTATGTTCATCTTTATTCATAAAGAAAGATCTTAGATAAATATGCTATTAAACCCATAAGAGATTGCAAATTTTGATCTGAATCTGAATCTGATTATTTGGACAGTTAATTATATAAAAGTATTCTGGAAAAATTTTAAAAATGCAAAATCTACCAAAAATATATTTAAATTTTTTTAAAAAAAGGAAGATGTATATAGTTAAATTGAAATTGAGAGGCAGATAGAATTACCAGCTTGGCTAGAGCACTTGGATGTGGAGCTTCATAGACGGGCTTACAAGGCAAAACACAAGACATCATCTGATTCAATTTCAGTAACAAAAGTCATCAAAAATCAATCACAAACAAAGAAATCAAGTCAAAATTACATATATGTAGAGATCATTACCAATACTCTGGTAAAATCGCTTATCCACTGATTTAATTAATGGAATTTTCAAGACTCCATCTTCATCTTCATCTTCATCTTCATCTTGGTTGATGCTGCAGCTTCTCATCTCAGGCGCCATTGATGAGTTGTGATGGGTTGGGTATACAGGGTCCCTATAGGCCCCGTTTGTTTGGGGTTATAAGAAGGGGATTGTGATTGATAGTGAGGTGAGACTATTATATGGGGTGTTTATTTTGAGAGATGAAGAGGGGACTCCTAATGCCTTAGTATTAGTAAAGGCCTTGGAAGGGGGATTAAGATGGATGAGGTAGAGATGATATTAGAAAAATAGTGAGGGGATTAGAAATTTTTTTATTTTTTTTTATTTTTTATATATTCGGAATTTTTTTAAAAATATTAATGTTTAATTTTTTATATTTTTTTATTTGTTTTATTATTTTATATAAAAATAATTTAACAATTCCTACACTAACAACTATCATCAAAAACAAACACAATTTTATTTAATCCCCTCACTATAAATCCCCCTATTTTATCTCTAAAAACAAACAGGGCCATAGGATTAATATATACACGGGCCTAGGGTTTCTAAAAAAAAAAAAAAACAAAAAAAAATTGTCATAAAATTCCACTTGACATAAATAATTTGTCACACAATTCTGATTTTAAAAAAAATTTAAAAAATATTATAATCACAAAACACTTTTCAAGAATCATTTTAATGTTGTTTTATTTTTTAACACAAAAAATATGAGGGGAAAACTTCAAAATAAGGCAAAGGGTGAATACAAAAAATACTCTAAGATTCAGTATATATTTTCGTAATTTTTTGTATTTATTGATTTTTTAAAAGAATTTCTTCTCAAATATTTTACTTTTTGAGTAAAATCTAAATTAGATTTATCTAAAATAAATTGACCAAAATATTAAAAAAATTCACTAAAAGTAAAAGATAAGAATTAAAAATCAAAATCTTATTCGAAACATGAATAACCAAACAGAGTAGTATGTCTTTTGTTCAAAAGTCTAATAATCATTAAATAAGGAAAATGCTAGGTATCCCAAATAATCAATCAAATATTTTACCAAATCTCTCACGTGTGAGAGGATTGATAAAATATTTTGTAAATTATTTAGGATATCTAACATTACTTTTAAATAAAATAAAAATATAATTATATGAAAATTTTGAAACAAAATCCAATATCACTGTTCATCTGTCCCTACTTCCAATCAACCGTGACAATTCAATATTACATTGACAACTCATAATAAAATTGTATTACGAGAATGAATTCCACTAAAAAATTAAATTATAATTTCACTTTTAAAACACTAATATATAAATGGGAACAGGCTTAAAGTCATGAAAAAAGAAAAAAAAAAAATCAATGACAAGATCTAGTTCGATTTCAGCAACAAAAATCATCGAAACCAATCACAACAAACAAAGAAATCAATTAAAATTACATATGAGAGAAAGAAAGAATGAAGGATATGTAGTGATCCACACCAAAAGTCTGGTAAAATCGATTAGCCACTAATTTCATCAATGCAACTTTTGAGACTCCATCTTCATCTCCTTCTTCATTTACTTCTTCTAAGTTGATGCCACAGCTTTCTCATATTGCATACATATATATACACATCCAGTTCTCTCTGTCAAGGATTTATTTTGTATTTATTTATTTTTCTTCCATTTTAAGTTTTTGGCAAGTGATAGTAAATGCCATGGATAATGGTTAATTTTATTTATGAGTATTACTATTTAAGACCAAAAATTAGATCTAATTTTCAAACTCAGTGATTTGTCAATCAATTAGGATATTAAAATTAACACGCATTCTCTCTCATATCTTTTCTAATTATCAACTAATCATATCGGTTACACATCACTGGGTCTATAGAATGGGTTTAAAAGAAAGATTTGTTTCTTTTTAATTTTCCTTTATTATTTATTTTACATTTTTTTTCATAACACTTTTTGTAAGTATTTTGAAATGGATGAAAACTTGTAATTTTTATTTTTATTTTTTGTGCCAAGCACTTATTAACAAAATCCTAATTTACTTAGGTAGGGGACTTCTATTGCCTAATTTGGGATGGAGATGATATGTTTCAAACTAAGTTAAGACAGGGAGATTATACGTGGTATTAACTTGCATGAGGCATGGGACGAAGATGAAATATGGTCGGATTGCACTTGAATAAGAAAATTTTGACTAGGTTTTTCTTGTATTTAATTTAAAAAATAAAAATAAAATCAAACAACATTAATTATATCAATAACTGTGTTTGTTATATAAAGTTGTCTTCAATGAGTTTGTAAAATTAATGCGAAATAAGACTAGTACACTAATTAGTACATATAACATTATTCTATACATATGGGAAGGTGAGTGTAAAGAAATTAGAGGCGCATTTAAAAGTAACCCCTATTTTGCTTCTTGTGTGCTGGGTCAATAATGAACAAGTTAAAACATATAAAGGAAAATTTAAAGTATACAAAAGTGTTAGGTTTTATTCTTGGCAATCCCGTTTGACAAAACTCTTTTCAGTTGTATTTGTTTTCGCACCTTTTATTTCAGTGAGGCTATGAATTTATTAGATGCGAATCCAACCCGAATCGTGCCTTTGTCAATTTCCATGGATCAAAACCGAGGTTGTAACAGGATCTAGTTTTTCAGATTTTTCAATTTTGGTCGTCCCGCTCGAGCGGGGAAAGTGACGCTTGAGCGGGGATTGCAAGCTCACAGCATCTCTGTTTCGCCTGAAAAAGTACTGGATGGTGTGATTCGATGCTGGAGCGTGGGAACGTCCGCTCGAGCGTGAAGCCTATATGAATCACACAATTTTGAAGCCTCTGCTCGAGCGGACCGCGCGAACACAGATTCTTGGATTTCTATAAGGAATTGGTTTTCTTCCAAAACTAGGATTACTTTGGTTTTCTATAAGTAGTTGGTTTTCTCGCAAAACTCATAGAACTTCTCCAGATCTTCTTTTTGGGTTCTAAGGTTTATATCTGGGGATATTTTGCTAGTTTTCTTTGATGTTTTGATTGAGTATTCAACTCATGGTTTAAAGAGTATACATCAAAAGATTATTTGTTTGTTCTAAAAAAAAAAAAGAGTTGTTCTTCGGTAGATTTTGAAGAATTCGAGCCTGAAGCTTTGGTGGATTTCGGAGTGGCTCATCGTCAAGACAATTCCAAGGTGAAGACGGGGTTGGAAGAGGCACATAGAGGTTGGTTCAATTCGGGCGTGGATTTGCTAGGGAAGTGAGAGTATACCTGTGTAATTCCTTTATATCTTCTTAGTGGATTGTTTTGTGGCTGTTGCCCGTGGTTTTTTTTTATCACAATTGGAGGTGTCCAATTGTGGTTTTTCCACGTAAAATCGTTGTGTCAATTTGTCTTCATTGTTTGATTGGGATTGTTGTTTACTGCTTAAAATTGATACATAATCACAAATCAACATCTAGGGGATTTCTAAATTTTTCATTTGGTATCAGAGCAGGTCGCTCTTTTTTTTTGTTTGTTTTACAAACTATTAGAGCGTGATCTTGTTTGATTTGTGATAATGGATACAATTCGTGAGGGAAATTATATGGTTCGACCACCCCTACTTGACGGATCCAATTATTCTTTTTGGAAAGCTCGAATGAGATCGTTTTTAAAATCTATTGATGAAAAAGTTTGGCAATCTGTCATGAATGGGTGGACCGAACCATCAATTACCGTTGATGGAGTAACTTTCCCCAAACCAATTGAAAACTGGGACACAATTGATTACCAAAATAGTAGCTGGAATAGTAAAACTATCAATTCTCTCTTTTGCGCTGTCACACCTGAAGAGTTTAGTCGTATTTGCAATTGTGAAGTCGCAAAAGAGGCTTGGGATATCTTACAAACTATTCATGAGGGCACTCCTTCGGTGAAACGCTCAAAACTTCAAAGACTCACATCTAGTTTCGAAAACCTTTCAATGGAAGATAGTGAGACCTTTGATGAATTTTATGCGAAGTTGAGTGACATTGTAAATTCCAGCTTCAATTTAGGTGAAAAAATACCAGAATCCAAAGTTGTGGGTAAAATTTTGAGATCTTTGCCCGATCGGTTCCAACCAAAAGTTACGGCTATTGAGGAGGCTCAAGATGTTAACAACCTTAAGCTAGATCAATTGGTTGGAAATCTCGAAACTTATGAGGCACATAGGAATTTCAAAAAGAAACAAAAAGATATTGCTTTTAGTAGTGCTCATAGAGTTGGAGAGGATTCTGATGAGGATTGTGAGATAGATTCCAAGATTACGGCTGCTTTTGTTAAACAATTTAAAAAATCTTTTTTGAAAAAGAATCATAATCTTTTAGAATCTACTAATACTCATAAATCTAAAGGCAAAGATAAACTCAAAATTAATTCTATAGCCAAGAAGGAGAAAGGAAAGATACAAGGGAACTCTGAAAGACTCCAATGCTATGAATGCCAAGGATTTGGCCACTTTGATTCAGAATGCCCCACTCGTTTGAAGAAGAAGAAAGCCCTCGCCATCACTTGGGATGATGAATCAGAATCTGATGAAGATGAAAGTGACAATTAAGGTCAAGGCAAAGAGGGACATAAACAATTCCTTACTTTCATGGCGGCTTCCGAAGCTGAAGGACGAACAGAGTATCCGAAGAGGCCGGTTGAGAATGCCACTGATGATGAATCCTCGGGACGTGATGATGAAGAGCTTGAGCAAGCTTATGAAAAGTTGTATAAGGAATCTCTAAAGTTATCCAAATTGAATGACAAACTCACTATGAAACTCAAAGCATGTGAAAGTGAGAATGTCAAACTAAATGAGGAGATTTCCGAGGCTAGGATTGATGCCATCAAGATAGCTAATGATCGATAAGCTCTTTGTGCAAAACTCTTGACTTGTGAGACAGAGAGGAATGAGCTACAGCAACTCTATGCAACATATGAAGAAAAAATTGAAACTCTCGAGATGTCTCAAGTTGCTTTGGAAGGACTAATGATCAAGAAAGAGGAAGAACTCAAGTGTGCTATGGCTACCATTGGTCTTTGGAACAGAGGATCAAAGACTTTGGACACTATCATTGGGTCTCAACAAATTTG